GATTATAAATAGATGTATGTGTATGTATGTGTGTATATGTATGTATATGTGTGTATATATATACATATATATGGAGAGAGAGAGAGAGAGAGAGAGAGAGAGAGAGAGAGAGAGAGAGAGAGAGAGAGAGAGAGAGAGAGAGAGAGAAAGGACAGAGATGGAAAGACAGAGTTCACACCTGGGATACTTTCTTCTGTGTCCCCCCAAGAAAAGCCTCCTCAGGTTTAAGGTATTCTCAATGGCTATATCCACTGAAATCCATAGTTCATGAGCTCCCACCAAATAGTTACTTTTTTTTTAACTAGCCAGACAGAGGACACAATGACATTTAATCAAATGCATAGTAAGAAAACTCACAATAGGATTTTCCCTGTGATATACCTGGTATATTCTCTCCCATACATACATGCACCATCAGTGGGGAGGATGGGCATACTTTAGGGATCATTCATGCAGGGCATACACAAGAATACAAGTGAACATTGTATTTGTATTGAGGGACAACTTATACTGCTGGCACTATAGGATCATTAACACCTTCCGATGACATAATTATATTGCTTTCACTGGATCTGCTCCCCAGTGGTGAACTCTATCCAGTCCATATCTATAGGATATCTGAACCTCTCATAAGCTATAAGTTGTAGGGAAGGTGCAGACCCACACTGGAAGTGGGAATTGATTCATTTGGGAGTTGAATGTTAGCAGTAAAATCACAAATTGGGTCTATTATCCCAACAATAATAATAGGTCATATTTACATTGCACCTTAAGATGTGCAAAGTGCTTTTCATATATTATCTCATTTGATTATTATTTTAAAACGTAGAAGTCAGTTTTTAAGGTGGCATATTTTGCTGACATATATGTTTAATCACACAAATGATAGGGAAAGGAGTATTATTTTTTTCCTCCCTGCTTGGGAGGGTGTTAAACTTTCGTTACATTATTTCTGGATTCATCATGAAGGAAACTTCTTTCAAACAAATAGGATTGTGTCTGACTTACTTGAAATTATATAGTAACTCTACACAGACATTACTTTGTCTTTAATATTTACACAATTATTTTAAGGCTTTGCAACAGAATATAAGCTGGAAAAGAGTTCATTAGAGACAATGTAATAAAAGCATCAAGATTCAAATCAGTCCTTGAAATAGGAAAGTCGAGTTCTCGAGGGTTAGTTTTGAGGTAACCCTCCAGAGATTAGTTGAATAAGGTGTAGTTTGCCTGCATTTTGGCTAAACAAAGACTCTCCTTTCTTTGGTAGGAGTTGTCTGATAGACTTTGATCTGTGTAAGTGTTGCATCTGGTTTCTTTGGTCACAGTTATCCCTTCCCTAATGGAAATGCTGCCCCACTTCCCCAAATGTGGGGGTATCTAGGATGTACTGAGACGCCAGGAGAAGGAAGTTGCCAGTTGGAGGATACAAACTCTACCTTCCACCGCAGGGAGTCTAGATGGGAAGTGAAGAAATAGAAAGAAGTAAGGGGATGAGGGAATTGTTTTGCTGTTACCCACCTGGCCCAGGAGTCAACTCAGGTGAAATTAAATCTGCTGAGTAATTTCCAGCAGATTCAACAAGTTGTAACATTGCTTCAGAACCAGATTTGTCACACTCCTCCTCCTCAGCATCAGGAGCAAATATCATAATCATCCCTCCTAAACCACCCCTCAGCAAGGTCAGAAGGATTTTTATTTTATTTTTTTCCCCATCCATGAAGACTATTTTTTTTCTATCACTGTTTGCATGATGATTTCCTGGCTTTGTGTTTTAAAATACCATGGGCCCTGAAGGACAACTTGCTAATAACAAACTGGTGGAATTTGAACAGAGAAAGGAATGAACGATTGCCTGAAATGCAGCTATCAGTGCTGTGCAGGCAACTCCTGTACTAGAAGACAACCCACACACACACACACACACACACACACACACACAAAGTGAAACCATTCAGTTACAGCAATTGCTCAGGGGCCAGCAGGCTGAAAGTGGGCAGAGAAGAAGGTTTAGAGCAGTGATGGACTTAGGGAGTGTAGGCAGATTTTAGGAATATGAGGATGCATGAAATCTCTCAGTCTAGTATAGAAGGTGTCTTGCTTCCATCCATCCCTAGTTACTAACCCCATTTCTTCATCTCACCCAATAGAATGTAAATTCCTTGAGAGTAAGGATTGTTTCTTTTTCTTTTTCTTTTTTTATACTACTGGAGACTAGCATTGTGCCTGGCACATAGTAGGAGCTTAATAAATGCTTGTAGGTTGATTGACTGATCTAATGCTAACAAGAAAGGCAGAGAAGGGGTATTCTACCAGAGCTATCCCTATCCCAATTGACAGCCATCTGTGGAAATCTGTGGAAAAATGTAGAATTCTAAATGATGAATGAAAGCTGCTTCAAGCCTCAGGTTTTCATAAGCCTCTTTGTCTTTACATTTCCTTTGTCCCATAACAATCTACCTTGTACCACACTCATTTTATATTCATTCCCATCTCTTTGCTGGGCAGCTAGGGGGCACAGTAGATAGAGTGCCAGGCCTAGAGCCAGGAAGACCCAACTTCATGAGTTCAAATCTGGCCTCAGACACCTCCTAGCAAGTCACTTAACCCTGTTTCCCTCAGTTTCCTCATCTGTAAATGAGCTAGAGAAGGAAATGGCAAACCACTCCAGTATCTTTGCCAAGAAAACCCCAAATGGAGTCATGAAGTCTGAAACAACTCAGCAATAATAAATCTCCATGCTACTTAATGGTAAGTTCCTTAAGGGCAAAGATTGTGGCTGTATTTCATTATTTCATATCCCTCAATACCCACTCCAGTGTCTTCGTTATAGTGTATGCTTAACAAATATTTATGGAATTGACTGAAATGAAACTGAGGGGAAGTTAAGCCAAATGCTGTCCTTCAGGGATAGGCCTTTGATGAGGCAGCAAGGCATAGTTCTGCACTCCAAAACTGAAGGCCTAGGCTGGAGTCCTGTTCCCAACATCTCCATGAAGAGGATCCTTTATGATTTTGGTAACTTTACATTGTGGGGATCTAACAAAAAGAAACTGAGATTTGTTGGAGCATATGTGATTTTTGCCTTTGGCTTAGTGGTACTGATTCTCTAAGTCCTTCTTCCTGTCTTAAGGCAGTGTGGTATAAGAGGATAGACTCCAGATCTTAGACTTGGAAAGACCTGGGTTTGAATCCTGCCCTAACCATAAGATCATAGATTAGGAGCTGGAAAAGACCTTAGAGACCATCGAGTCCAACAACCTCATTAGGAAATTGAGGTACAGAGTTGGTGAACATCTGGGGGCTTGGCAAGAGGGAGCAAAGATGCTTTTAAGCCTCAATTTTTCATAGAACATTTTGTCTCCATCTCTTTGTCCCAATAACAGGATTCTGTATTTTGTGGAGACCTTCCAGGAGGGTCAAGAGCAAGATCTATCAACCAATGAGATTCTGTACGTTTAGTATACTTCAACTGCATTGCCTGAGTATTAAGTACTGGTATCACGTTAAAGCCTGGAGGAAAGGGGCATGAGGAAGGTGATGAGCAAGGGGAAGGACATAAGAGATCCTGGGGAAGATCTGAGGTCCACTTCATTAGAGAGGGGCCATGGACCCTTTAATAAAGAGCCATTGGCTTATAACTTTGCCTCATTTTCTTCAGAAGGTATTTTTAAATACCAGCTGCAAGGTCATCGAGGAACTGAGTTGCCGAGTTTGATCCTCCTCCTCTCCACCTCCTCCCCCTCTTCCTCCTTCTCCCCGCTCTTCCCCTCCTTCTCCCCTCCCCTCCCCCTTGTCCCTCTTCTCTCCCTCCCCTTCCTCCTCCTCCTCCCCCCCCCTCTACAGGCAGACATTGGCTGCCATAATTGGATTTGAAATTTTGCAGCGTATCTCTGAACTCCCGCAGGTCTCTGGTGCTCTCTTTCATTCTGGGGAACCTCGCCCCATATCGGGACCTCCAGATCACCTGGGGGACTCTCCCACTTCCCTCTTCCCAAGCTCCGTCCCTGCACGGGTTCCAAGGTTTCTGTGCCCAAATGTGGGTGCTGGTGTGCGTGTGCGTCTTCGGGCCAGCTCTTTAGTTTTCCTACTCCCCCTTTCCACTCCTACGCGTCCTCCGCCCCACAACTGGAGCCGGCGGGAGTGAGTGTGTTGGGGGAGGGGTATAAGAGAAGGTGGGAAAGACCGCACTTGGGGGTATAGTGTAGACAGATCTCTGTCTGCATCACTCAGGAGAGGTGAAGTCTCTTCCAGATCCTTGCAGGTTAGTACCTCTCCCTGGTTACCAAGTTACTTTGTAGGGACCTATCAATGTATCTGCGGACGTGATTGTTTCTTTCCAGGAAAATGTAAGCGCGCTGAGGGCCGGGACTTTTTAGGGCTCTTCTTGACGCCCCCGCACAGTGCCAGGGAAATAGTAGGCCCTTAATACTTGTCTGTTTAATGAATGAGTGGACGAATGAAGGAATGAATGAGTGAATGAAGTTGTGGAAAACTCCTCCAGCAGCCTAGGGATTAAAAGGCAGAGTTCTCCCAAGGAAACCAAGTGAGGTCAGAGGGAAAAAGAAAACTCCCATGCGGACATATGCCTTCTCTGTATGGTGAGTGTGTGTGTGTGTGTGTGTGTGTTGTGTGTGTGTGTGTGTGTGTGTACACATTTCCTTTGGACAGTGCAGGGATACAGGCATGATCTGAGACTGGGATCTGTGCTGTCAGGAGAGGGGTGGACTGGAACGTAGAGGAGGCAGCGTGTGTGTGTGTGTGTGTGTGTGTGTGTGTGTGTGTGTGTGTGTGTGTGTGTATCACTAGGTGTTGTTATTACACACTTCCTGTGGTATATTTATGACCGCGGCGGCGATTTCCGGTAGCCGATACGAGCCACTTCTCTGTCGGTGCCTTTCCTTCCCGGAGCAGTGAATATCCTGCTATTTCTTCTTCTCTTCCTCCTTCCCTTCCTCCTTCGTTTCTTCTTCTTCCTCTTCCTCCTCCTCTTCCTTGCCTCCTCCTCCTCCACCTCCTGTTCTTCCTCCTTCTCCCCTTCCTCCTCCTCTTCCTCCTCTCCCGCCTCCCCCCCTCATTTCCCGCCGTCACCGCGGCTGCCTCTGCTGTCTGTGCCCCTCAGCGCCCCGGAGCCGCCCCGGCGCAGAAGCCAGAGGCAGAGGTAGAGGCTGCCGCCCAGGAGCCCGGGCTGGGGCAGCGGGGCCGGCCACTGGGTCCCAGCCGAGGTGGAGGGGGAGGGAGGAGGTGGAGGAGAGGCAGCTCACCCATCCCTCTTCCTTCTCTCCTCTTCCTTCTCTCCTGCCTGCGGTCCTCACCCTCAAAGACCTTTCTCCTTTCCTGTCTCTGTCACACGCGCACGCACGCAAATATAACCCACATCCCCGTCCCTACACATTCAACCCCGCGATCCCAGGGTATTCCCCAGCGCCACCCCACTCCTGCCATCCTCCGTCTCTTCCTTTGGCCCCGCACTCCCCATCCTGCATTCCTATGGACAAACACCTGCAGGTAGGTGAATCCTCCTGGTAGAAAAGGGGGAGGGGGGACGATGAATATGGGTGAAGAATAAACGCCGTGGCTACTGTGGAGGCAACCTCTCCTGGGAGAGAAGTGAGTGCGTGTGTGTGCTCTTTGTGTGGAATAGGTAAGAGGTGGGGTGGTTGGGGCCGGGGGCGGTTGGAGAGAAGGGGGATTGTGTTGTTCTCTTCCTCTTCTGGGTCCTGCCCCTTCTCGCGGGTTGTGGATGTTTAAATGAATGGGCTGAACCCCTCCTATTGTCTCCTGTTCGTTGGGAGAGACGTTAGGGAAGAAGGAAGAACCCTTGCACTACAGGTTGACGGGTTTGGAGGGTTGGAAGTTGAAGACCCTAGGGGAGGAGTGATCCAGAGTGAGAGTTGTTGTGGAGAGGGTGTACCTGGGGATCTGGACAGATTCTCAGAGGGATACTCCCAGTATTAATCTAGTACTACTTTTCCCTAAGGCACTAAAACAAACGTGTGTGTGTGGTGTGTGTGTGTGTGTGTGTGTGTGTGTGTGTGTGTGTGTTGCTTTCCTACTCTTTCTCCTCCAACTGGAAGGGAGAGGAGGGGAATGTTATCCCTCTTGTAGCCTTCTAGTTTTTCCAGGTCTGTAATTCTGGCGGAGATGGAGACCGTTCTGGCCTGGTTATGTTAGGACGAGTGTTTGTGTGTGTGTCCGTGTGTCTGTGTGTCTGTGTCTGTGTTGGGGGGGGGATGCTGAGGTGTGTTTGGGATGCGTCGGTTTGTAAGTATGTGTCTCTTCCCATGCCGTATTTATTGTTTCTAACGGAGGAGGAAAGGAAGGAGGACGACGAGGAGGAGGGCTCTGTTTTCCCCCTTTATCTGAGGCTGCGCACAGTGACTTCTGTTTGATATCAAATTCATCAAGAAATGTATTCCCCCCGGGCAGAATGAGGTTGGTTGACAGAAATCAAACCAAATGTGCAAGAATTGATTTCAGATTATTCTCGATCCTGGAGGATGAAAATAGTTATGATTTTTAATTTTGTCTTGTTTAAAAAGTAGAACAGGGTGTTTTTTTTTGCAAAGCATAGCAATAAACTTTTGCTTTTCTCTCAGACCCATTAGGATGAGCAAAATAGCATCTTCCACTTTTTTAAGTAAACCATTTATTTAACAGTCGATTTAGGTACAAGAGACTGAGGTGTATAGAGTTCAGGCCTCAAGAACAGAAGGTTCTGGGTTCAACTCTCATCTGCCACATACTTACTGGCTCTGTGACCCTGAGCAAAACCATTAACCTCTCTGTGATTAAAGCTACTTTTTTTTTTAAGTAAATTGGTATATGTTCTAGGTCAGGAGTTTCTTCACTTGGAACTCATTATACTAATGAAATCACAGCTCCAGAGCAAAGGGATTTTGAATGTTTTCCTTTTTATTGTATCCACTAATTCTTTCTCCTGGCATCTTTTTCTTTGTGCATGTAGGTACATAGTACGTGCTTAATAAATGTTGACTGACAGTTCACAATAATAACTCAAATTACATAATGCTTTAAGGTTTATGAAATATTTCATTTTTCTCAAACTCTGTAGATAATGTAAGCTGGTATTATTTTCACTTTATATATGAGGAAACTGGGGCCTGGTTAAGTAACTTGCCAGTGGTCCACACAGCTATGAGTCAGAATTAGAACTCAAGTTTCCTGAGTTTATTCAAGTCTAGAACTTTTTCCACTAAATCATATGAACACTCAAGCTGTTGAGATAGATATGGGTACAACCTTTTTTTTTTAAATAATGATTTAGTGTTTAGTTTTAACAGAAATTGTCTTATGAACTATTGCAGAGATGTGCTTGTAGGATATTCAGAGTGATGCATTAAACTGAATGGAGAGAATCCATTTAAAAATTCAGGCTTTTAAATGCTTCTATATTCTTGTCTCTATCAGTATTTGAATCTCTTCACTTCTGGAGCTTAAGATAAAATTCTCCAGTAATAGGAGAATTGGTGTTGGTTATGTGTGAAGCCTGTTAAGTAAGCCTAAAATACTAGGTAAGATTTTTTAAAAAAATAAGATCATTATGTATAATTATACTTTTATATTATTATGTTATATTGTAGCACATATGCAAAAATGTGAGAGATTTCTACTAAGCCATAGCCATCTAGAGTTGGAAGTGGAGAAAAATATTTTTAAATAGAAAATTTCTTTCCATTTTCAGAAAGTAGAAATTCTTTGTTAGAATATAATACTTCTTTAGATTTTTAATGTTATTGCTTTTTTCCCCCGCCTTGGCAACTGGGGTTAAGTGACTTGCCCAGGGTCACTGAGCTAGTAAGTGTCCAGTGTTTGGTCTGAGGCCAGATTTGAACTCAGGTTCTCCTGACTTCAGGGCCGGTGCTCTATCCACTGTGCCACCTAGCTGCCCTCAATGTTATTCTTTTAATCTAAATGTGTCATACTTTTGTAACTAATGAAAGTTAGCTGTACAGAAAGAACCTTGTTCTGAATTCAAAAATAGTCATCTAAACAGATCTGTTATCAGAGATAAAATTCCCAGCTTTTTGCCACCCTTCCTTTCTATTAACATAATGTTGCAGCACAAGTATAACTTTGTCACATGCTTAAAGTAATAATAACAATAATTAGCATTTATATAGCACTTATTATGTGCCAGGCACTGTGTTAAGCCCATTACAATCATTGTCTTATTTGATTCTCACAACAACCTTGGGAGGGAGATGCTATCCTCATTTTACAGATGGGGAAATTGAGGCAAACAGGTTAGATGTTTGAACTCTTGTGTTCCTGATTCCCAGCCTAGTGCTCTATCTGCTGGGCCACCTAGCTGCTAGTTTAATTCAAAACAATACATTGTACTTATTTTTTTATGGTAGAATCAGATTTTAAAAATGTTTTTATTAATGCTTTTAAAAAGTTGCCATAATTTCCTAAATAGAACCCTCTCTTACAACAAAGTAGAGAGGCGTAATGAGTCATATACTGGACTTGGTGTCAAGAAGACCTGGATTCAAATCTTTTCTATGAAATTTTCTTAGCTGTGTGACCCCGAGCAGTTACCAAAACTCTCTGTGCTTCAGTTTCTTCCCCTATAAATTGAAGAGAATGTCTGTTGTACCTACTTCAAAGGGTTGTGGTAAGGCTCAAATGAGATAATGTACAATGTAAAGTGCTTTACAAACTTTAAAGCACTATGTAAATGTTAGCTATTCTTACATTATTAAAGTTAAGCAAAACAAATGACACATTGACTTTGTGGACAGTATAGGCCTCATTTCACACCTATTTCTACCATATCTTTGCTGAGAAGAGAACATATATTTCATTAAACAGTCTTCTGGAGTCGAAAACTGGTCATTTCATTGTTTTCAGTCCTGATGTCTTTTAAGTTTGTTTTCATACATGTTGTTATGGTCATTGTATATGGTGTTCTCTTGGTTCAACTTATTTTGATCATATCAGTTCTTAAAAGTCTTTCTAAGTTTCTCTGAATCCTTCACACTCATTATTTCTTAAGTATAATATTCCACTATATTCACATACTACAACTTGTTCTGCTACTAAGCAATAAATAGGCACCTATCTCATTTCCAGTTTGCTACAACAAAAAGTGCTGCTATACTTTCTTTCATTAATCTCTTTGGGGTATATGTCGAATAATAGAATTATTGGGTCAAAAAGTAATAACTTTTGAATAACTTGAATAATTCCAAATTATTTCAAGCTTCTTTGAATTTACTCATTTGAAGGTACCCTGTAAAAATAACCATTACTGATTTTAAGGCCAGATATGCCTCCCATTGTATATTAATACATTGATTTTCTGGTTTATAAATGAGTGTCTTATTCATCAGTCTTTCCGTACCTGACCACCATTAGGAGAACTGACAAAGGTAAGTTTCTAAAACAGGTTATAGACCATAGTGGTGCCCCATCACTGCCACCACAACTAAGGTAGGGCTAATTTTTAGTAGACCACATTAACTCACCTTATCCTCTTTTCCTTCCTTCCTTCTGTTATTCCTTTCTCTTTTTCTTCTGTTCTTCCTTCCTTCCTGTTAAGTTTTATCCCATCAAAGAATACAATTCTGATGTAGCACCTAAGAGTGCTGTACGGTCAACATAAGAAATTTGGGACATTTGCAGAAAGATGCATCATGTCTTTCACTTTAGGATAGTACAATTTGACTCAAAAGATAAATAACACAAGCACCTCTTTAGAGATGATGCCTGGGCTTATTAGCAGTTTTCAAATTTCTCATCCCCATGTGCATAAGAAAAACCTAAAAATGCACTGGAAGCCCCACAGCTGCTGGTTGTTAAATCCGGTTGGTAGACATCCAATAGAACTGATAATTGCTTCCTTGGTGAACTCTGGGTCAAAGTTTCTTGAGTCAGCAGGCCCCAAGACATTTGGGTTGAAAGGAGGAGTGAGTTTCTTGTGATATAAGTCATTCTAGTTTACTGGGTTGAATAAGACATGATTCTTTATCTCAAGAAAGTCTGCTTTGGCACCATGTCTTTTCTCCTCATCCTTTTGGAGAAGACTGTGCTGGAGGTCATAGGCTGCCACAGTCTTGCCTCCCTGGATCTGGAAAGGCTAGTGAAGGATGTTGTCTTGTATTTCAGAAACATCTTGGCTATAAAAAGGTGACAAGCTGGGGGTAGCTAGGTGGTACAGTGGCTAGAGCACTGGCCCTGAAGTCAGGAGGACCTGAGTTCAAATCCAGCCTCAGACCAAACACTTGACATTTACTAGCTGTGTGACTCAGGGCAAGTCACTTAACCCCAATTTCCTAACAAAAAAAAAGGTGACAAGCCACAGAGCATCTCAAAGAACAGCCCCCAAACACTGCTAGTCTACTATAATGTTTTTTTTTCTCTATACTGCAGAAGCCAAATACTCAGAGGTGCCACAGAAAGTGGATGTGGTTTCTTCTGGCTCCATTCCTTCTTTACAGAGCCTAAAACAGTCAACACAACATGACCCTGGCAATCCAAGA